AAAAAAAAAAAAAAAAAAAATCTGATGAAGAAAGACTTACCCTTCCAATTTCATCAGCATTAATAAGAACAAATTCATTTCTATTGTGAGAGCCCGCAACAAGCCTTCCTCCAGTATTCATCGCCATTTTTTTTCCACTGAAGGAAAAGCCCCAACAAATACCCTAAAATTTTGCAAATCCAATCCCAGCCCAGTAAAGACACACACACACACACACACACACACACACTGGGCAATGTCGGAACAAAATTAATCCTGGGATCGACTTGTTAATCAGCCGACAACATTTGCAGAGGAACGAACACAAAATCCTCGTAATTACATTCGAGCCCACTCACGATTCAGCTCTCAAAACTCCAAATCGACCTCGCACAATCCACCTCAAGATTCAAGATTCAAAATTCGGCCCGATGAACACAATGGCCGATGGGAAAAAAAAAATAAAAAATCAAAAATAAAAAAGCCAACTTTAGTGAAAAGCCATTAGAGAAACACCATAATCAAGAAACCCAGCGAAGGTTTAAGCACACCGTGGTGTTTGTTGAGAGATGTTTATAAATGGTAACACAAGAATTATCTAATTTTCTTTATTACAAGCTAACGGTGGCCTGTAATATGGCTGGACAGGAAGGACACTCTCTCACTAAAATGAACGTTTTTGCGTTGAGTCTTTGAATTGATGTGATAGAGAGAAAGGAAGAGTGAGAGAGAAAACCCCATAAAATGAAAAACAAAAAAGTGGGATTTTTTTTTCCTTTATATAATAATTAAGATGGTTCATAATAATTATTCATAATAATATAATTCTGTACCAAACATAAAAAATGAAAAGGAAAAGAAAAACCTTCACTCTCTCTCACACACACTTGTGATGAAAACGGGAAATGCTAAGGTCACGTTACAGAACCATTTCGTCGGGGTTTGTAACCGTTAGATCATCATGTAACCGTCAGAGATAGTTGATCTAACGGTTACAAATCCTGACGGAATGGTAGTTGATCTAACGGTTATAAACCCCGACGGAATAGTTCCGTAATGAGACCGTAGCATTTTCGGATAAAAAGATAGTGTATTGTGTGAGAGAGAAAGTGTTGGGGCCCAAAAAAATGCAGTGGTGACTTATTAGCTTGGGAAGTTCGCCCCCACCGGAGTTGGTAATGTTAATAAAAAGATGTATGTATAGGACAGGGTATACATACAGTTGAGTGTATGTATTAGAGAGAAGAGAGAGATAGAGAGAGAGAGAGAGAGAGAGAGAGAGAGAGAGAGAGAGAGAGAGAGAGAGAGAGAGAGAGAGAGAGAGTGGCAGAAGGAACAAAAGATTGTGGGCTTTGGCTTTGCAATCCAGCTAAACTCATGCTTGTGTTGTGTATACATGTCGTTTTTTAGTTGTATGCTTTGTTTTGTGGTTGTCTATTTCCTACACGGATATGACTGTGCTTTTGATACTTGTACCTTCCCTTTTCTTGATGGTACTTTCCTTTTGATATCATATTGGAATTGAAACATATGAATCCTACTTAAATTTATATAAATATGTAACATTAATACAATGATTGTTTATTCTTCTCATTTTTTTTTTTTTTAAATAATGCTTTCTATATAGTTCTATTATGATACTTGTAATGTACGCGATTGGATCTTTACTTGGTATTCAGCAAATATTTCAAATGATTTTTTATGAAATCTCTTCGAGTTCTTTGTTAGAAAATCAATATGGAAAAAAAATGAGCTTGACAAGATTTAATTGATTTGTTGTGGTTAAATATTGTACTCGAGTTGAATTAAATTATATAGAATAATTTCACGTTTCGAGTAGATACTCGTGGTATATTTATTTTTTCAAAATTGATTTTTGGTGATTGATAAATATATGACTAAAGAACGTCATTAAGAGCACCCACAATGCTTTGGTCTCTTTGTGCATATGTGTCAAATAAATAGTCTTAAGTCCATAATGACATGGACAACCCCAAGCTAAAAAATTCAAAATCTATCCAATGCAAAACAAAAAAGTACTAGGTCTAAAATACTAAACAACCAATAAAAATATAGTAATAATAAATGCATACAAAAAAAAATATGTTTTGTCTATTTAAAAAAGAAAAGAAAAATTATGAATAATTAATGACTAGGTGGGTTTGCACTTGGGTCCAAAATAGACCCAAGTGTGGGCTTAGTCTCTTTTTTCTAGTGCCACATAAGTTAGACTAGGTTCACTTTTAATTGCATTGTAAAACAGTTTGTAATAGACTAGGTCTATTTCCTACATGGCATGTGATTTTTCTCTAAGAGACCAAAAGCATTGTGGATGGTCTAATGAGAATGCACGTAAAACGTTAATTATGGGATTCGAAGAGTGAAATGTCATTTCTCACATAGGACTCTTAAATGAGATTACGGTTATACTTGGTAAAACTAGTTGATAACAGATAAGCTAGCTTATTTATCAGTAATTTTTGAGTTTATAGCTTATAGCTTATGACAGCTGAAAAACTAGCTTATATGATAAAAGTGTTTGATAAAATTAGCTGATAAACTACCCAAAGAAGCTTATGAGATAAACTCGAGCTTTTTAAAAAAGTTCTTCCTACCAAACGAAACTTATTTATACAAGATGCTTATAAGCTAACTAAATAAGTTATAAGCTAACTAATTTAAGACATAGCGTTACAGAGATTACAACAACAACAATAACAACTACAACTACAACAACAACAACAAAGTTATGCACCAAGTGTGGGTGATGACTTCGGTCACACGCACGCACGCGCCCGCTTGTTGTTTAGCCGTCCAGCTCGGCTTGGAGTCTTCTCGACGAAGTTGTCAATCACCACAAGCCTGATTATGAACTGATAAAGCTAAAGACGTCGCGCAATCTATCAATCAAACTCTGCATGGATACACACGGCGTGGCCCTACGCCCCTAGCTGACACCTAACATTTAATATGCCATCACATTTTTCGTGTATAAATAATGTCATTAACAATCACCCATCGATGGTCAACATTATCACAGACAATCTTCTCCTTCTCAAATTCTCACACAAGACATTGTTTTCCTTCATACAAGTCGATCTCCCAAAGATCATACAATCATCATTTTCGGTTGTACTCCCACTACATAATTTCTCAATAAAAATGATGGAGAAACAATCTCCTTGCTGATCGCCATAACTGATCAGCAATGTCGGTGTCTCACTCTTTTTGTGCATGTTTATTTTCATTTCAATTTGTCTATATTCATTAAATTTTGTCTAAATATTATGTAATCCTCGATTAAACCACCTTAAAATATGCTTTCCGTATCTGTTGGCTGCCCACTGTTAACATTTATAATATTCAAATGTTCTGAGATTGAAATGATATATTATGTCAGGACTGTGCACATGTTAAGTTATAACGTGATTCTAAATTTCAGTTTCTCGGTTTGATACAATATAAAATAGATTGTTACGATTCTTGGTAAATCGTATAAAAAAACTTCATATCTATATTGATTATTTTTTGATTTGATTCGAAAAAACTTAATTAATAATCAACACCTATTTTTAATTTAAAATTACCATCAAATTTATTTTTAAAAATAGCTCGTATTCTCGAAATCTCTTGCTCTAATCATTAAATTGTTGTTTTGAGTTGGGCAGTGCCCACTATATATGAGTACGTGACCTAAATTTTTCTTCCTTGTTAAGGAAAACGGTTAGGCTGGACCTCTCCTTTTCCTTTATATTTATATATAGTTTCACCAAAAGTGTGACAACAACATGCAAATTTCATGAGACATTCTTTTATTAATGTCACTATATGCATTTTTTGGACACTTTTTAATCATTCCCTTAGTTAATAATTTACCCAAAATAACCAATCTCTAACTAGAGTAAATTGAGTAATGCTCTCATATCCACGGTGGGCACACGTTAATATGTCCACCGCTTATGTAGCATGCATACATTGGTGATGTACTTTTTTGAACATATTAGCATCACCAATGTGTGCATGCCACATAAGCGATGAACATATTAACATGTGCCCACCGTGGGTAGGTGATTATTATTGTCTCTACATATACCAATATAAGAAACTAAATATAGACAAAATTACAATTTTAGTCCTATTTGTTTGATCCAGTGACATTTTTATTGTTAAGAATCGAACATTTTTGTTGTTTGGTCTTATGATTTTAAAATTCAACGCAGTTTCAGTCCTTTAGGACTAAAAATGCAACAAAATTTAAAATTACAGGACTTAAATTGCTAATAAAAAATCTTTTGGATTAATTTTTTATTAGCAATTTAAGTTCTGTAATTTTAAATTTTATTACAATTAATTTCAATCCTATAGGATTGAAATTATAGCAAAATACTAAATTATAGGATCAAAAGACAAAAAGTTGATATTTTGGGACAAAAAATGTTACGACGTTAAACCACCAAGACTAAAATTGCAATTTTACATTAAATAAATATATATATATATATATATATAAAATAAATTAGGAAAACATACTTTGTCACTTTATATTTGCTTTTTAATTATTACTGTTCCATCTTAATTTTTATTGGTCTGGTGGTGGTTGTTAGTACCATGTGGCATGTTCTAATTTATAATAATAGTAATCATAATAATTCTTGAAATGACTAAACTAAAGTTTAAATATATGTGCCACTTTAGTGTAATTTAGTGTAATTTACAGTCACCCCACCAATAAAATAAATTAAAATTAATAATTATTCATGTTACACGTGGTATTAATTACATGACTCTGGATTTTACATGCCGTTGCAGTTTTCATGCTTTGATCAGCCAAATCGTAATACCTAAGAATACATCAAAACCTTTTAAAATAATTTAAAATGAATATGATCACATCCCATCATTGAGTTACACTTTTCCTATTTATTTATTTTGTTGCATGTTTGTTATTTAGGGTTTGATAAAAAAAAAAATGAAGGATTAATTATAACCAATTAGTGTAATGAAATTATACATTTTTTGATATATATATATATATATATATATATATATATATATTTCATTTGAAGATGTCAATTTCCATTTTTCCTTGAATTTTTACCATAAATTTGACTTGTTAAGAAAAAAACATATTCATAAAAAAACTCGGATTGTCATCTTTTATTTATGAATTGACGATATAAAATTTGGATTTTCTAAATTACTCTCATCTGTTGTCAAAGTCAAACTAGTTACATATTTCATTCGCAATTTCTAAACCTTTCTACGCACTTTAGTGTATATTTTACTCTATTTTAAAGTAGGCTGAAGCTCAAAATAAAATTTCTTATCCAACAAATTCGTAGTACGTTTTACTCCATGCAAAAATATAATTTTTTTTTAATGACAACATATTTTCATCATCTTGACAGATTTGATACCAGATTAAGATATTACAAGACAAAAAATATTGTTATTATATTATTTTAATACATTCTATAGTTGTTTAATATATTTCTCCAAAATAATATATTTTGGCACAATTCTAAAATTAAATTAGAATTTTTTGGGTACACAATTT